ATACATATAGTACAGCCAATACATATAGAACATACTTGAGTGGCCTGGAGGGGACACATACGTATATATCCAATAGTGTTATTTGGAGGACCACCTGTCAGTGTGTGTGTGTTTTAATAAACATTGATATATACACACACACACATATATATATATATATATATAAATAGTACAGCCAATGTATTATAGAACATACTTGAGTGGCGGGGATGGGACATAAAAGTGTATATCCAATAATACTATATGGAGTATTATTAGTACTACCAGTCTATGAGTATGTTTCTATTAACACGAAAGTATATATCCAATAACAACATGCCCGCATGCGACACCACGCGAACACGGGCGCACAGGCCACCCACCTGCAGGGCAGTGTTATTGCCCTGACCGACCAATGTCGTATTGAGTGTCGGTTGCAGGACTGAGAAGAACGCATGCCAGGTGATTCTCAGCTGAATGGTATCAAAGCCCATGAGATTGGCACAGTCGTTGAACTGCAGAGCATACGCAGGCAGCACGCGAGTCGTGCACGGTGGCCCTTCGGCACCCGGACATTCGAGCGTCAGATTGTTCCTGGATAGGGTTTTAAGGTTTCAGGGTTTTTTGGGGGCTTTAGGGTTTAAGGGTTTAGGGTTCTAGGATTCGTGAGTGGGTGTCTGAGGCGATGGTTTAAGCAGCAGCGTGTGAATTCTCTGGCGTGTGAAGTTTCAAGATGTACACCGTTTGTGTATGTCCGGTGTTAAAGGTGTGCTATTATATGATGTTTCCTCATCTCCTCATGACTTTAGTGGAGTGACAACGAGTTTTTCAACTACGACCTCTCCTTTCATGGCGTCACATATAGATCAGACTGTGCACTTGTATACAGACGTGAATGTAGAGTATATCTATTTTCTGGTAGGACACCAGAGCACTTGTTGTACTATATATAGAACTGCATCACCACAATGAAAGTAAACATATATCAGCCTGCAGCTTTCAAATTTGAGATGTCAATATGATGTAATGACAACGTTAATAGCAACATTCTGTATCGATTCATATGCGCACTTGACTTCAAGTATAACCGATTGGCAAATATGTCCAAAACTCCTTTCTCTGACCAAATACTTCCATGTACCTATGCATTTGTGCGCAAATCAATTTGGTCCAAACTTCACAACATCCCGATTAACGGCAGGTGTGTCCAGAAGGGTTTCAGGATCTTAGAGGTATTAGGTAATTAGGGTTTTAGGACCCTAAATCTCGAAATAAAAACACTCCTTCTGCTCAGACGGCCACTTGTACACGTATTAATTCAATCAAAAAAATTGTTCATAGTCAGGCGCAACTTCACATTTTTAGGGGTTGTTTAAATCAGGTTTTGAGTTTCTAGAACCCTAAATCTCTATATACACCCTTCCGCGCAGACGGCCACTTGTACACGCATTGCCCAAGAGCATATTAATTCAATCAGAAAATCCGTTCGTAGTCAGGCGCAACTTCACATTTTTAGGGGTTTGCTTTTAAATCGGGCTTTAGGGTTTTTAGTTAGGTTCATAGGGTTTAGGGTTCCCAGAGACTCAGCCTAACCTGTTAACCGTTTTGGTCTTAGGCTTTGAAGATTTAAGGTGTCAAATATATATAAATCTTACCTGAAAAGTGTTTTGGTCTCAATGAGATCCGACCCAACTCTCTGGCCTTGCACCAGCACAGTGTAGTCCAGCAGCATACTATACGGTAGCCCATCCCAGGCATTCACCCCTACGTCAGACCCATTTATCGGATTTGTCGTATTTGTCGTATTACTTCCGCCTGTTGTCGTACTGTTCACCGCGCCAGCTCGGTGAGCGCGTTTAAGTGACAGGAATGTGTCGAAACGGCCTCTCATCTGTTTGTATTCATTAAAATCCGATATAGTGAACTCGACTAAAGGCCCGGCGACCTCCACGCCTAAATTCCGCATCTGTTTTTTTTTTGTTTTTTTGGGGGGGAGGGAGAAGATATGGATTATTTTTTGAGGTTTTAGGGTTTTAGTGTTTTATGGTTTTAGAGCTTCGAGTTTCGGGTTGAGAGTTTAGTGTTTTAGAATTGGAACAGGAAAAACAGGTGGTAGGATATGTACTCCTTCCTAATTGTCCCAGAGCTTTACAGTGTGCGCCGGGGAACAAGATATGTAGGGTTTATCCATAACAGGATAAGCCGACCAAAGGATGTGTACGCCATTCACGTCTTCCCAGAGCTTTTAAGTGTGGCCAGTTATGATTACGTACAGCTGCAACATACCCCCACGCCACTGTATAAAAGACACATAGACCGTAGTGGTACCTTTTTTGCAAAGTATAGCTAATATGTGCAACTCAACCACACATCCATGCCATTATACACACTATGTAAACCTCAAACATACCTCCACGACATTATACACACTATGTAAACCTCCAACACACCTTCATGCCAATATACACACTATGTAAACCTAAAACACACCTCCATGCCAATATAAACACTAGGTAAACCTAAAGCACACCTCCATGCTATTATACACGCTATGTAAATTTCAAACACACCTCCACGCCATTATACACACTATGTAAACCTAAAACACACCTCCTTGCCAATATACACACTATGTAAACCTAAAACACACCTCCATTCCAATACACACACTATGTAAGCCTCAAACACACCTCCACGCCATTATACACACTATGTAAACCTAAAACACACCTCCATACCAATATACACACTATGTAAACCTAAAACACACCTCCACACTATTATACACACTATGTGAACCTAAAGCATACCTCTACACCATTACACACACTATGTAAACCTAAAACACACCTCCACGCCATTATACGGACATGATCTATTAGCCGTGGTGGACGTGCTGCCTACAGGCTCTCTCTGGCATGTCTGGACACCTTCCTTGATCTCGTCCTGTGATTTGGTGGCGTATGCGTTGCCATTGCCCCAGCAAGTGTAGCTGCACGTGTCCTTGGCTGCAAGACGTTAAGTAGAGGTATTTGAATATATATCTAATCCTTTCAGGTGCATATTAAATATAGAACCATATACGTACACGCTTGTAGCGTACATATGACACGACAGTGTCCTTAGCTGTAAGCGTTAAGTAGCAGATGCTTGAATGCATATCTTACCCCATTGGGTACTTATTCAAATCCTTTTGAAATATATGGTGGCACACTCATAGTACACATTCCTTTTCTGAAAAATGTGTGAAGGTAGACAAATATTACGTACCTAGCCCTTTTACACCATATATCTACACACTTATGTACCACAACAGTGTCTTTGGCAGTAATATATGTCATACCTACGCAACAAACCTCTTTTTGAACGCTATACGTACACGCTTATAAAGCATGTGCAATACAGCAGGGTTCGTCGCTGCAACATGCCAACTAGCAGTTACTTAGATACATATCTAACCCATATAGCTGCGTATTCAATATCTTTGAGCATGTACTTATACGCTTCTAAGGCTCATGAACCATGACGCTACCTGTAACTACAATGTGACATGCCGAATAATTAGTAATATCGCCGTACCCACAAACACTGCAAAGTATATTCCCCTCATATACACTATACACAAATAGATACATTATATCATCGGTACCTCGTGTATTATATCTACAACATCAACTGAACGGTGCAAGCACACTCAACCACTATAAAGTATATACCCTTACTTTACCTCATACAACACACACTATACTATATGTATCGCATGCACTATATCATATACCCTTACTATACCTCATACAACACACACTATACTATATGTATCACATGCACTATGTCTACAACACCAGCTGTACAGTACAAGCACACTCAACCACTATAAAGTACATGCCCTTACTATACCTCATACAACACACACTATACTATATGTATCATATGCACTATATCTACAACACCAGCTGTACAGTACAAGCACACTCAACCACTATAAAGTATATACCCTTACTATACCTCGTACAACACACACTATACTCTATGTATCACATACACTATATCTACAACACCAGCTGTACAGTACAAGCACACTCAACCACTATAAAGTACATACCCTTACTATACTTCATACAACACACACTATACTCTATGTATCACATGTACTATATCTACAACACCAGCTGTACAATACAAGCACAGCCATATACTGTCGTGATAACATACGATGCACCTACCCGAGCGATTAAATACCGGTTCAGGTTGCACACTGGAGAAGGTACAGTAGTTGATAGGATATTCAGTACGTGTCAGTGACCACTCAGGCGCCGAGATAAGTAGTCCTATGCACAGCACAAACACCACCACCACAAAGCACAGGACGGCCAGGAACTCGCCCCGCTGAATGGTCTGGCGGGAGCGATAGGGGAGAATAAGTGGTCCAATATATATCAAAAGGACATACATTATCAAGACATGCATGGGGAATGATAGGTGTATGTATATGACACAAACACCACCGCTACAAAGCACAGGACGGCCAGGAACACGCCCCACTGAATGGTCTGGTGAGAGAAGTATGTGGAAGACTCTGAAACAAGACATGTTAAAAATGTGTGCACTCGTAAGACACGCAGAGAATGATAGGTACACGGATATCAACTACGATTACGTGCCTTTCAGCGGAATCCAGTCAAATACTTTAAACTTAATTACAAGCACTATTTCTAATCGGCTTACGTATACGTATTCCCACCGTAACATGGGCTTTACTTCTAGCCGGAGTATTGTAAACGCTACTGATTAATACTTCTAATGCAATTCCCAACATATAATTCCAACCGAAACACCACATGCGTATTACATTACACGACTGATACGTATCTTATAGCAGAATGCTGAGATACGCTTACAGCATAGGTCTAAAACAACCCCTGCTTCTTGTACCACATATACCTACTGACCACCACACCACTAATACGTACCTCCAAGCGGATAACAGGGACACTCCTCAGCCGTATGCTTGTAGGTCCAATTGGCGCTGTGCCTGTACGTGAGACGTCTTCGTCCTCGAGAACGGGGTCAGGGCTTGTCAACGCTGGGTTTATGCACAGGACAAACCAGGTTTAAAAGAATCCGTTTTTGCATGTGTTAGAGAAAGAACAAATATATTCTGTATTGTGTCCATAAGGCTAGTACTTGGTATGTCCCACATTGGAATATACCTGTATGGCTGCACTACCAACCTACCTACACATCACTATTTTAAGTGTAAGTATAGATATTCTGTTAGTCTATATTCTATGAGTATTTTAATTGATAAAATGCGCCCAATACCGAACTTTTATGCTCGTGTTCTATCAACATATGCGCCAATTATTCTGTATCGTGTTGGTGATGCTGCCTCCACTTGATACTAAATAAATACGATATCTTTCTCACAACAAATATATGCATGTATAGCTGCACTACCATAGGACTAGAAGACTGACTAATTGCGCCTAATACCGAACTACTATGCTCGTGTGCCGAGTATTCTGTATCGCGTTGGTGCTGCTACCTACACTTCATACCAAATAAAGACCATATTTAACTTTCTCATAATGAATTAAATGGTCTCCTTCCCAAGTACTGTGGTTCTGTGCATACATTCATTACAATGGCGAGTTCAACATAAGACAGCAATCTCTGTGGATCACCGACCGTTTCATAGGTACAATAGCCAACATATACCCTTCACGCATATATATGAAACTACGCTCTCATGCATACATGTACAACTGTTTCTAAATATACACATATACAGATACACCTTCATGCATACATATATAACTACAATCTCATGCATACATATACAACAGTCCCTGAATGTACACAGATACAGATACACCCTCATGCATACACACACCTCTATTTCTGCATTCAATACATCCACCTGATAGATGATTAGTATAGTATCTCCATACCCCTCATGTATACATATATAGCCACTCATGCATCCAATAGTTCCAATTGAAGCATAACTACAATACCACATCTATACCCTTC